ACAAATAGATGTCTTTATTTCACGAGAAAAGTATAATTTAAGGTCAAAAATATTTGTTTATTTGTACATTTGCTTTTAAGAATCGGGTTTGGTTGACACAACAAGTGCTGTATATGAAGGGTCGGGTTTGACCTTCACCTTTCTTTGCTGAACTTTAGTTTTCAACGGTAAAGACGCATAAAAAATGCAAGCAAAAAATGCATGAAATGTTGCTTTTTAATCCCCCTTCTCTCACCACCTTTAGGCCTATTAGAATTTTCTGTATTCTATAGTTAGTAACCTAGGATTTTTCGCTGATAGATTTTTGCTTTATTTTGCAGTGAAACACTGCGATCTTGATGTCCGAGATGAATAATTATACCTATAGAGAAAATCATCATGGTGCTTTCTAAATAAGGAGAAGTTGAACTGAAGAATCTGCCACATGATCTCCACATCAAATCCTTTGCCATCCTAAAGGATTGTGCAAACCGTGCATTAAACTGTCTCTGTGCAATATGATAGTGTTGCAAAATCGCACCAAACCTGTAATCGTTCATAAAAATGGATCGTGTTGCATGTAATCGATTAAAGGTTGATAGTTTGTACGAATTTAAAGCTCTTTTACGAAAGCTTTTTTACGATATAAATATCAAGCTCAACATTCAATTGCACGAAAATAACAGGATATTTGAAAGCAGAAAAAAATTGCCCTTCAAGGAAATGACAAACACCCTACCCTCAACTCCCCACTTCACATGTACCATACACCATACTTATTGCCACTAGAAATGTCTGCATATCTTTTTTCATTTCTGTACCTCATTACATGATATAGGTTTTATGTCAAAGTAAGTTGTCAACTGTTAAAGTCAGTGCTTCTCACAAAAGTCCAATTATCACTTCGAAGTTCATATCTTGCCAATAATCTTTGATATCTTAAGCTAGATTAAAGGAAATGTGGTTTCTTTCAATGTGTATTTTCTTAAACACATCCATGGTGTACAAATGTCAACTTTTTCCAAGACCGATTCTGAAACATCAAAGAACCTTGAGACACAGTGAGATTCACAAAATGAAAATTGTTGCGCGAAAAGATTTTAATTTCAGCTTTATTTTGATACTTTTGAATCAAATAAGAAACTGAAGAGTTATCCTTCCTGACAGAGGATTGGGTTTTAATAGAAAATTGCAGTGGTACTTCCTGATAGAGAAGTCGCTAGAGTAAACGTCTGCGCACAGCATTGCAACTGATAACTGGCTTTTATCTTCTGTGTCCAATTGGTGAATTGTTATCTTGTCCAAAATGCTGAGGTTGTCTATTACTTTGTGTTATTTGTGGGTAAAAAGTTTGTTTCCCTTGACCAGTCTTATTTCGTTGTTTTTCGTAGTTTAATATAACTGTTGAAAGTAGAAAACACAAAATTGATGACATTTTTTTGAGCTCTTTGATATTCTTTTGGTATTGCGCGTTTTTGAAAATAAAAACAGGCATATGCAGTCACATCTCAGAAGGAAAAAAGCTGTCTGAATCATAATTCAATTTTATACAGTGCAAAAATTCATTTCTTTCTTTAAATTTGTTTTCAGTGAAAAACATTTTTTTCTATTAATCCATAGAATATGTACTGTATAAGTAGACTTTTTAGTAATATTTAATTTTGGCATTATTAGCCATGGCGCTGACATTGCATTGAGTTAGCATTGTAAAATCGCTAACATTACTTCTCGCTGAAAATAAAATACCACATTTTATGTAGAAATTGCCTAATTTGAGTCTCGCTAAAATATCCACAAATACGGTATTTTGTTCTTTGTAGATGTCCCGAGAAAACAATTGAAGCTTCAAATTGTAAAACATATTAAATGCCAAGAATCTTTGCAATTTAGTTTATCAATAAATATGAGAACATTGGGTTTTGCCGATGTATACGGATATTTTTCCAAAATCAATATTCCTTATATTATTTAAAATGTAAACTGTTTGAATTAGTTATAAACTCCATAATTATAATTTATAAATTTTAGCTTATATAAAAAATTATCTTGAAACTGAAGAAAAAAGAGGCAGTTTCCATGACAGATAGTTATTCAAATAATTTAAAAATAAATTATCATTTCTTTTATTAAAATTTAAAAATGGATGAAGTGTCGTTATTTACAAGTCTTTAAGAAGATATATATCGAGATTTACTGCCATATTTACACTAATTCCAATAAAGGACAAGAAAACTTTGATGAAACTATCAATTGTCGCCCGGAGAATAATTGAAATAAACAATGGAAATGAGTCTTGATCATCAAACCGCTTCGATATGTGTAAAAAAAGACATGCGTTTAAATGATGGAGACGATGGTCGAGAATATTTTGAAAAATTATAGTCGGATGAAAATCGAACAAAATGGATACTCTTTTAAACTTAATATCTATTCCTCAAGTAAATGTTTGCTGCATAAATATCAATTGAAACCAGGCAGATTCATCGCATATATTCAAAAATGTATTTCACTTTAAGAAAATAAAACACGAACGGTGTAGAGTACGTTTTCATGCGATAAGAAGAATTCGATGTTTAAAAAAAAAAAAAAGGATCTGTTGTTTTTTCGAAGTAAATGATAAGCAACTTTATACGTCAAGTACTGTAGATTCCTAAATATACGCGAGGAATTAATTATCAAGTAATTTTGCAAGAAGCAACACTCGCAAAATAAAATTACTCGCTTTTATTTTTATGTTGTTGAAATCCATGTAAATTCTATTGATCAAGCGTCCATTCGCGAATTATTATTCTCGCGATTTGACGTTAGAGAGCCATCTCGCGATAATAAGTACTCGCGAAAAATAAGGAATGTACAGTATGAAAAACATATTTATTTTTACAGATTTACTTTATGGAGGTAAATATGTATCTCGTAATTTATAAAGGGAAAGAACATTCTGATTAACAGTCTTTTAAATGATTAGAAAACCTTAAAGTTTAATTCTGAATAACTTCTCCCATCTCAATCTTCATACAACAATACTTAAACTTATATGTATAGAGCAGCCCGGTCCTCCGGGCTGCAATAACATTTAAATCATTTACTGAGAAACAAAACAAAAATGGCGTCCGTTCAAAGTTTTAAACACGCTCAGCAATTTCCGGAGAAAAAAGAGCTTACTTTAACATTTGAAAGAGAAGAGAACCAAAAATGGACAAAAGTATGTTGATCAAAATACGAAGGAATTTAAAATTCTTATGATTTACACTTGTTCGTGTTATCTGGTCACCTATTTTGGAGTCCTAATCCATGCAGATGCATGGCTTTGTGAGGGTTTTTTATTTGATAGTCTATAATATACATGTAATATAAGTCATTCAGTTAAATTGCAATCACATTTACATATACATGTATTAATATTCAATGTAGTTCATTTATTTATCCTTGTTTGATACGTTTAAAAATTAAACATACCTGTAGGGTCTGAAAGTTTTTCATATCCGTGTTCTTCTTTTCTGTGTTTCAGTTCTTCATATGTTATTCTGAATAGTCCAAATAAAATAAACACATTTTAACGTTGGGATTTCATTTTCATTTTCGGTTATTTTCTATTCTAAATCATTACTAACCTTTTTTTTCTCAAAAATTACTTACCTGTATGATCCATTATCTGAACAAAGAAGAGAGGTGTAAAATAGATTTCATTTTATGATTAAAATATTTGTAAATAGAATGCCATTGTGTATTTTGAAAAAAAAATTATCTTGATATATCTATATGTTTTACAGAATGTCCTTACTCATTGACGGTCTAATAACGTCGTATCCGTTTTCCTGATCTCGACGAATCTGTGTCACCTCTTCATATTGAGCTCTTAATATATAAATATGAGGTTTATAAATATTCATCATTTAGTGTAAATTAATAACCTTTCGTTAAATGATGAAATGATACTTTACTTGGTAAAACACGGATATGCATACAATCATAGCACAAAAATAATTAGATTCGATGTGATTTCATAATCATTCTATAGTGTTATTTATTAAAACTGTGACAACTCTTTACATAGACAATCAAAATGTTTTCAAAAACAGAAACTAAACTTCTCCTGCCAGTGGGTTTGATTAAGCTTACTTCAAAATACTGTGTCCTTTTCTTAAGAAAAAAAATATAGGTCTACCTCATACTGACATTTTAGCTTTTGACTTAAAAAATTACCACTTAAACTACGTGTTTACATATACCTCTAATCCTATTATTGTCATCCTCTTAGAATAATTTCTTGTCTGTTAAGAATAAACTTTTTATTATAGTTTTTTTTTCAAGTATCACAATGCATATTGATGTCAATCTTCTATTCACAATGCTTTTGAGACTTTATTTACATGTATTACTTTATTTTTTCTGATGATAAAGCATACGTTACCTCCTTTCTGTTTCAAGCCCTATAAGATCGGAAAAATTTCATTAAACATTTTTTTTTGAAATTTATAAAAATAAAAATCATTTAAAGTGATTTGATACTTACTTTGTGTGCCAGAGATAGTTTTAACTCTTCCATTTTTCTGTTACTGTGAAATAAACATAATCGATCACATTAAAAGAATACAAACACGTGAATGCCATTTTATGATTAATAAGAAATTGTTTTACTGAGGTCCTTTATTTTACAATGCCTTATTTTGTCATTTGGATTGCAAATGCTATTCAATCACTTAATTCCGTGTTCTAAGTTTTATGCTTTGGCGTAAAGGTTTATGTACAAGAAGGAGTATGCCTCAATTCCTAAAAAGTAATTGATCCGAGGTCCTCTTTAGTTGCATTTGATTTTGTGAATAGTAAAAAGGATTACGATTTACATTTGAATTTCTTTCAAAAGACTGTGTTTATTAGTTTAATTTTTTCCACGTTTTTTTTTATCTATTAAATTTTCCTATTTATCTTTTAGAAAAGTAGGAATTTATTTCTTTCGTAAATAGATCATTAAAATATCTTATTCAAAGCAAAGAAAATACACCTGATTATATATGATATCTTGTAACTTATATTGAAATTATTTTGCAAAATCAAATTTTTGAAAGATCAAGACATTATTATGAAGTTCGTAGAATTGGCCTCAGTTTTTAAACTTGTATTTTGAGATTAATATATAAACATTTAGCATCCTTTGAAAGGGACCTTTCCTAATACTGGAGCTTAAAACTTATTTCGAAATTAACATTTATTTCTCCTTGTCTGGAATCTACGAGGGACGTTCAATAAATAATGTCATTAGCTCGACGACATACAATATCGTAGTCATATGACATAAAGTTTGATTTTCTCTCATTATTGAATCTTTAATGATTTGATAACAGTTTGTGTGACCACTTTTCATCTTATTATTTCATCGTGGGAAGCTGGAAAACAAGGGCTGTTCGAGACTCTGCATTAAAAATGAATGGTCAAGAATCAGTAAACTAGAGTAAAATTCAACGCTTTATTATAGCAGCTGTAAAACTTGTTAATATCCCAAAAAGGGATTATCTGAAATATATAAAATTTACAGCAGCCAAATTCCCGTTTTATAGACAGGTGAACATGTAGATTTCAATGAAAAAAAATTATATACTGGGCATCAATAATGGGTACCGTCCTTGGCAACAATGACTTACAACAACCGATGTAAATTTGTGAAATATCAACAAATTATCAATGATTATGTTTTATTGACTTTAAGACACATAGCAAAATTGATAAAAATAATTTTGGGGATAATTCATAATGTTTTAAAGAAACTTTTTATAGTAAAAATGTTTAATACTCAAAAGTCACCCTTTATTTTGAAAAATGAGAGAAAACGACAGCGTGTAGGAATATCCAAACAATTATTTTTTAAAAAAAAAACAAAAATTGTACATATCTACGGTTGTATGAGATTCTAACAGATAATGAAACTTGAATCCATTTTGCTTTAAGCCCTCAAAACACATTTACAATAAGATGCAGTTGACAAAACTGCAAAGGCCTAAGAAGAGCGAAGAATTGCAAGAGCATATAACAGTTTTACATGCTATTTTCTTAAATACTAGCGGTCTTGTTGTTCAAATTCATATTCAGGGAGGAAGTTCAATTTCTGGAGGAGTCTAGAAAACAATTTTTTTTTAAAAAATGAAAGGTTTCTGTGAGGAAGGAAACAGAATGAAGAATTCACTACATTACATGTCTTCATGACGGCGTCAAAAACCACAGGCCATGAAGAATAAAGGAGTTTTGGGGATAAATAGAAAATTAATGTTTTGTCACACCAACAAAATTTGCCAGGTCGTTCAACCTTTGACTTGTTTCATTTTCTTAACTTAGAAAAACATCTATCAGAAAAAAAATATCAAGTACAGCAAATCATAGGATCTGCCATATTCCAGTATACGAAGGGTCATACTCAAAAATGTCTTCGAAAAACAATTAGAAATTAAATGAAAATGTTACGGATATATGTATTAATTAAAAGAGAATATTTAAGTTAAATCATTAAGACAAAGTCATAGAAAAACGTTTTTTGTTTCATTCCTAGCCCCAATGACATTATTTATTGAACGCCCCTCGTATAGTGTATAGTAGTAAAAACAGTTTTGACTGAATATTCCATGTTATGTTAGCGTTCTTACCTTGAATTTTGTTTTCTTTCTGAAAGTAATATTTTCCAAGCATTATTCTAAAATAATTGACTAATTTAGAAGAATAAGAAAATCATAATTACTCATAACTTTAACTAAATACTTACCAACACATAAAATTTGGTATCTTCTATTAAAGATTAAAAGGGCAACAAGTACAATTAAAACAACTCCTCCAATTGTCCCGCCAACAATAATTTCCAATTTTGATTGAGGTGTATGAAATCCTAAACATAAAATACCAATAATGAATGATATAATAACTTTACAAGTTTTTGTAAAAAATTCAACCAATAAATATGAAATTTGAAAAAAAGGTTCAACTGCAATATTAAAGATATAAATCCAAGATATCTTTATGAATAATATATTTAGATAGCGATGTAATGTTTGCGGACTTGAGTTATAAGATATCAAACACGACAAGACAGCATTTGACATCAAACTCAATGCCAATTACGTCACTTATACGTTACGTAAAACGCAAGGATTGCGTAACTATATCCCCTCCAATTCCATAGCAGTAGGTTATAAAAATCTTAAATATGCAATTTTCTCTGAAAAATTGCTCTATTTTATTCACGAAATCATTTTACGTCGACATAAGTACTGTCAATATGTTTAACAACTATAATAACCATGTTCTATCGTGGAAAGCATTTGTTATTTCATTTTTTTAATTTAAAATAATATAAAAATTTTAGTAAAATTTTCGGACTCTAGACACGTAGACTATTACAATAGAATACCCCCCCACCCCTCCAAAATAATGAAATAAATATATATACTCAAAAAATTAGTGCGATTATAAAACGTTCAAAAAAATTTAACTTGTTTACTTCATACAAAATTACAAGAAGTACAAGGATCTTGGTATGCATCTGAGTATAATACAGAACTGTGGATCATTGTTTGTTTGTTTGTTGTACCTCTCAAGAATTTGTAAAGTATGTAATCATGGCAAAGAATGCTCAGAGGTATAGAATAAATCATAGTTAATTGATCAATAAAGTTTGTTGCAAGAGAAACATAAGACTGTGCAAAACAAAACAATTTTTCATAAGCACTACTGTAAACTCTAACAACTCAGATTTTCTTGAACCCACTTGGTCTTGAACGAATATCAAATGAAATAATAGAAACGTGTTATTATTTATCTATTATTTAAATCTGTCTAACTATACAAAAACTTCGAAAGAACTTAGTATATATTTTATTTTTGAAATTTTGTATTTTTCTGTTACTTTTTATTTACATCAATTGTTTAGCACAAGTTACAATGCAAGTTAAGAGGAATCACAGCTGAAAGGTTAATAGGGATAAATTCTCTGGTTCATTAAAACATTGTCGATGATAAGTATGATGTATTTTCAAAATTAATTATATATTCTTTTATATGTAAAAATGCATGCATACTAAAATATTACCGCTTCGTTCCTGTGTTGTGAATGTTTCAGAAGATCCAATCGTATCGATAATAGGCGTAGTACTTGGGGTAGTGGTAGTTGTAGTTTTCACTATCCACATGAAAACGAAAAGAAATCTTTAGATAATAAGTTAAAAAAAGATTCAACCCAGGTTGACGGGATACAGCTGATTTCTCAAAGAAATCTATGTTTTAATCTTTGATCATGAGTTTCTAACAAGGCTCTAAAATTTTTGCAATCTCTTAAATATTTATTATAAAAAAATGATAAAATCCAATGTTTTCTTAAACATATCCATAGTACAAATGAGACAAAATAATGTTACTCTTTCAACACGAGACTTTTTGCACATCAAACATTAAATCAAAAGGAAACAAGTCTTAACGAATCAATCCCTTACCAATTTGTAAAATTTGGTCTCTAGATGCATTGAAATATTTTCCATTGAATCCATTGAATGCAGTACAAGTATAAGTCCCTGTATTTGTTTCCCGAAGATTTGTCAGAGTCAATGTTCCATTAACGGATGATAGTTCTGTAGCATTGTCATTGGGACTGGTCTTGAATGTCCATAGATACCTGTTAACAATCTTATTTGTGTGGATCCCAGGAGTTGGATTACCATCAGCTTGACAGGTCAAGGTAGCAGAGGAGCCAACAGAATACTGAGAGTCAGCGCCAGTATGTGGTAGCTTCTTTATGATGGGAACATTGACCTTAACTATAATTATAGAAAAATACTGAGAGTTAACACAAGTGGTCCTTGCAACTACCTAATTCTAGTAACTCTGAATTTAAACACACTAAAGAACTTGATGTTTGTTATGGTAAATTATAATTTACATTAATTAGAAAAACGCTTCGTTGCATACATTTTGCTTTATGTAAGCTACTGAATGCAGGGGGTAGAGGTACATGTATTTTCGCCCCATGTTATTTTGAACCTATTACTTTTGTCCGGTTTAAATACGTCCAGTAACAGTTCCGATTAAGAAATTATACTGTCACCCTGTAGTGAATTTGCCCACTTGTGTCTATGATGAAAGAGGCGAAAATAAAACAGAGGCGAAATTTTACCTGTAAACAGTATTTTATTATTTTATGCGCTTTTACACATTGTATTAGTTTATAAATGTTCATGTCTGCTTATGACCTATCAGTGCTAGTTACACATGACATGAACACAAAGATAAACTTACAGAATACATTAACCCTTTTAGATTCTTGGTTAGGTTTGTCTCGGTCTGGCATTGTCAACAATTCATTGTCCACAAAACATCTCCACACCGACTGGTCATCATCCTTCGTCATCCTGTATGTTACCGTGCAGGTCACGTTGTAGACACACAAACCTTCCTGAACCGGTGGGGTGCTAGTAGACACTCCTGTCATTTCCTGTGGAGCTGTTATACCATTCCTGTAGCGCCACCACCTGATTTGTCCTGTAGGTTTACCAACATTGGCTGTACAGGACAAAGTCACTTCCATGTTCTCTTCTATATTGTCTGGTACAGGGACTGGAATGTCATAAGGTTGCTCAGCAGGGGCTGTAAATATAGGTTTTCAAATGTTTACAGATCTTTTTAAAATTTTCCTTGGTTTGCATGAAAAACAAATTTTCGTGGTTTTAATACAATTTAAACTGAATACATTTAGCACATTTATAAGACACTTTTAGAACATAAATAACGCATTTAAATATCAGTACTTTAGGAATACATGTAATAAAATACTTACCTCTAGTTGTGAGAGAAGTTTCTTTTGTTTTAGTTGTAGGACCTGATCCAGAATTAATAAATAAAACAGAACATCTGTAGTGTTTCTCGTCTGAACACATCACCTCATTTACTCTCATCACAACAACATAAGAATTACCTCCATTTGCTGTTACATTGAATAATTCAGATCGATTCTTATAATCTGTGACAAACTGTGTAAAGGAATTAGAACCACCCGATCCAGGGGGAGAAAAACTGGCTATATTGGAAAAATCCTCTGGTCCTGTTCCTGTTTTAACTTGCCATGACATAGATCCTGGATAGACTGTATCACCGGAGTCTAGTGTATATGTACAGGTGAAGTCAACAGAGCCTCCAATGGTGGCCGTGAGAGAGCCCGCTGTGGAAACTGTTCCTGCAATACTACCTTAAATATAAGAAATATGTATCTTCAATTCAATTTTATCAATAAGTGAGGTAATGATTAGATTATACCAGCTGTATAATATATGCTATTAGAGACAATTACTATATGCCTACAAAGTAAGTTGTCTTTAATTCAAAGCTATTACATGTTTAATGTTTTAGATATTTTTTGACACTAATTATCCATTACTATATATCTGAATAGTATAATATCATAAAAATATAAAATAAACTTCAAATTTTAAATCATTATAATAATCTCTCTAAAAAAAGATGCATCAGGGCATCTTAAAAAGGAGGAAAATTGTTGGCAAGTGTAAAGTGCAGATGTAACACGGGTCAAAATAATTCTATTAACAGTATCATGAAATATTTCATTATCGTTGTTGTAAAGGTAGGTGATGGCGCTGATGCAGTTTTGCATATGAAAATTTACTTTGTACGATTACATTGTAATATTAAGTTTTAAAGATGATATTGTAAGCTCCCTGAGAACCAAGTTTGAGTCAGGGACGCTACAAAATAGATAGGCCTACTGGTAGCAAATACCTGTACCAAAATCCTAGGTCCCCCGGTTATAAAGAAAAGACAAGATTCTTTGTTGACAAGATTCGGCTAAGTCTCAACAATATTTATTAATTATAAATCAGTTCTCTTTTCAACAGGTACAATAATACATTTTGGTGGCGTCTACTGTACAGGCTTCTCTTAAAGAGGGGATATCCCCTGCGAAATGATATTCATAATTTTAAGAACCTTTATGAGTTGTTCATAATTGTTCATGAATGGTTCTTAAAGGATTCTTAACAGGTTCATAAAAGTAGTTCACGAATAAAATTCATGAAAACATTCATAATTCATAGTTCATGAACAAATGATGAACAAATATGAATATTGTTAATTTTCAATTTAAAGAAAAAACTTAATAGTTCAAGGTTGTGAATGTTCATGAATTTTCATGAAGACTAAAAATGTAAAAATAATTGTCACAAACGATCGCCAGAAAACACTCATTACTCCCATAATACAACTTTTGCATGCAGATGCAATTGTTGAACAAGCCCCTGATTTAATTAATAACATGCTTTTGTTTTGATTTTGAAAGTATTAGATCAGAGACAAGTAGGAGAACATAAGAGGTTAAAATCACTATTTTCTACTCTCCGAATCGGTAACTTAGATTTTTCAGGATAATAAAACTCTGTTATGTACTGTCTAGAAGGGAGATCATTGTAATTAAATTATGATCGTAATTTAAAGAACACTGCATCAATACTGACAGCATTTTTTTCTCATATTGAATTACTAATGTTTCTTCATCATTTAAAATGGCCAGCTATATTAATATTGTGCTTTAGATTATCTCATTTTTCACGACACAACTTTGTTCGACCGAATTTTCTCTATTTGTCAAACTTTTAACAAGTTGTAAAAAAATGAAACAGACTTACAGTCTAGGGATAATTTTATAATCTTTATAAAAACGTATCATAAATTTATTGACAACTAAAAAAGTATATCTCTTGTCCGTACTGTACCGTACCATTCTTGGACCGAAAAGCTTAATATTTTGATGCAGTTATAAAGTCACATATTTCTGTCCATCGTGTGTAAATGATACAGCACAGGCTGCATGGTTGTGAAGAAGCTATGACATGAACCACATTCGTGTTTTGTAGTCTATTCTCCTATACTTTTTCATAGCTCAGGGTACTCAGTTTGAGGGCGAGTGGTTCCAAGAGATATTTGTTGTCCTCTGATATGGAGGCGGCCATACTTGAATACGAAACTATGGCTATACAGGTATAATGTAAAAAATCTAATTCAATAAATGATATAACTTATATTAATTTAAAAAAAATAATTTCAGTGAAAAATCATTCAGATCGTGTTTGTTATTTTTTGTTTAACAACAATCTTGGCAATTCGAAACTATTTCTTAATTAGTTCTGCATGACACTTTTTAAAAGGCGCAAACTTTGAAACGCGCGAGACGTTGGAAAGTGAATCGGTAGAGTGAGAGGATTATTAGCATAGATCTAGTCATTCTTTGTCAACCTTTGAAGAAAATAACAGAATACGTAGAAGGAATATCCAGAGGATCAATTTACTTCATAACTGCAGATAATATGTTGACGGTGCGACCGTTAGGGCGAGCGCAAACTCTTCTATTTCTTTTGATTTAGACAGATCGGGCTCGTCAAACCGCACGTGACATTTGGTGCGTCTAGACTCTGACGTCACATGACGTATGTAAGTCGCAATAATCCGAGAAAAAGCCTGAACGGTGCTGAAAGTTAATGAAGAACGTTTTGTTTTCTATTTATCTTCAATATATATCCATTAAATCAAGGTGAGTAAACTTTTTGTTGAACATTTGCCTTGATTCTCGTGAGAACGTAACTTAACAAGTGTTGCATTGTGGGTCGAAATTGCGGCGTCAAAAAAGTCCATCGAATGAATGTGCAGTAGTCCGAATTTTCTCTTCGCACAGGCGTTGCTTTAAGAGCTCGCAGTTACGAGCGTCGCTTCGCGACGCTCGCTGCGCTCGTTATTAATGGTGAGTTACAAAAAAATAGAGGCAATCGCTGAATCTGTGAGATATTTGTCAAGATGTTACTGTCTATTTGTAAGAGTTCAGTTATGTCTTTTTTTAATGAAAATTTTGTCAAACTTTGTTATGAGTAAGGATCCAACCAAATTACGTTACATTTAATAATTAAAGATTGAAAAAATTCATCCTGTTCACCTTTAACATCTTGAACATGGCGGGCAAGGGAAACAGGCTAAACTCCCGCTCGGAATGCTTTAAAATATGACAGTGCCTATGATACAGAATTAAATGAAACAAATATGCAAAAAAAAAAATAAGTCTTAAGTTTTCACATTTATGAGCATTTTCAGAAAATCTTTGTTCTTGTAGGGAAAAGAGAAGCAGTTCACAGATAATGTTGATGAGTTGAGATCCGAAGATTAAAAAAACTCTGGCTGCCAAAAAAAAAAAGAATATAAAAATCCAGGATCTTGAAGAAAAACAAAAGAAAGGAATGAAAATATGAATCGTAATCGATCAAAGGATCCAAATGATGAAATTCTGAAAATTCCACAGGGAAAGCCAATAAGATTTTTTATTTGACCACCTCTTCTCAAAATCTTTGAAAGCCCTTTTAGCTGATGCCCTAATATTGCTGAACACACTTTTCTGCCAGCAGTGAGACTTGGATTAAAAATAATTCCATTTTAGGCATACACTTTGAAATACGCTGAATAGGGAACCCACTCTCCTCTTGACCAAGTAAGGTTAAGGATTCTGCAAAGAGTCGCGTTTGAATTAAAAATTTTCATAATTTTACTAGGAATGAACTACATAATTTATTTATTATCGATATCACTTATCAGAGTTGTTTACTTGAACAAAGATTTTGTTACCATGATTGGAAAACAAAAATTCTGTGAAATCTTTCAAGATGCTATTAAAATATTTTCTTTTACAGATTTACATTTTGCATAACTTATTACATTTTTGTTTACAAAAAGCAAGAACATTCATGAATAGTTCATGAACATTCCTAAATAACTTTTACAAATTATTCATGAATAGTTCATAAAAATGCATTGAACCTATTAATATCATTCATGAACTTTTCTTGAAAGTTCAAGAATATAATTCATGAAGTTTTCTTGAAAGTTCAAGAATTATTCTTGATCATTTTGCAGGCAATTAAAAAATCGAAGTTTGTTCATGAACAACAAATAATTCTTGAATATTCTTGAACTTGGTTTTCATGAATAAAATCCATGAAATCATGAGTGTCCAATTTTAACTTCATGGGATCTTCATGAACAATTCATGAGCTGATTCAAGAATATAATTCATGAACTTTTCCTAAAAGTTCAAGAATTATTCTTGATCATTTCGCAGGGGATACAATGGTTATATTAGGATGATCCTCACAGTTAATTACAAATAAATAGGTGTCCAGTGTGTTGGGAGATAATTGTCGATCATTTTCTCACCTGAAATCGCAATATTAATGCTATAATAGGCTGCGGTGAAAAGATGGGCGGATATTGGATTTATCTCTCTTTGAATATACGCGCCTTACATCTCGGTACATTATCTGTTTACCAAATGCGATCGGCCCCTGAATATAACCCTCGGAAAAGGGTTACATGACAAAATTCAACCAATAAAAATGCTGTACAGCGACGTTCCACCAATCACGACAATGTACGACCCCGTGAAAAATGAAAATCGTGTCGTACTGTTAGACAAAATTTCCGTACAACATGGGTTATAAACAAACCCAGGAATTGAAATGTAAAAAGACAAAATCATCAAGAAATATGGATCACAAAAGATGTGTCTCTAATAAGTAAGAAACAATTTGTATCTGAAACTTGTAAATTTCACATAAATAAACTTGCTGAGTATGCAGACGATATCGAGGATGGATAAAAATATAGTTCCAATTTTAAACACATGTAATCAGGAATAAGAATGGCTAAAATGCATAATAGAACCCACAGTAATAATTAACATAACAAATAGCAAGTAATCATGCCCGTAAATTAGCGCAAAGAATAAGTTAGGTAAAATACGAAACTATGTACATAACATGCACCGATATAAAGACGGCGAGCGGAATGTAAACAAGTGGCAAGGCAGCAAATGATTCAAAGTATTACAGCTAATCCACTCACGTAGAACTGCTAAGATAATTACAGTTAACTCAAGAAATACATGCAGATTTTTAAAAGATTACAAGTAAAGTCCACCCACCCAATAATTATTACATAGTACTCCATAATTAAATTATAGTCATCTGCATGACAGATCCTTACAAAATGTTGTCTATAATTGAAAGAGAAACTTTTAATTCTACAATAAAATATTTTGTGTTATACAAAGCGAAACGTAAAAACAAGGCAAAATGCAGTAACTGGAATATTTCGTTTTGCGTTTATAATAACATTTTGCATCAACATCAGCACAAAAAACAACAATTCTTAGATTAGTACATTTTGCAATGCAACATTTTGAGCAGAGATTGAAAAAAGTTTATACAACTCTTTTTGCCACGACAAGGTAAGAATAATTTTAAAAATGAGTATGGATGAAGAAAAAAGAGAAGGAGAAATAAACAAAAAGAAAATGCATTTAAAATTGTAGCTTATAATACCGGATTATATTTCAAGGTTTCAAAGGCGAGTGAATTGTCAATGTTTTAAGTGAATTAAACGTCTCAGAACAAAAAAAAAGTCCCGAATTTACGTTTCTTTTAACCAGTTGGTTTATTTTATCTTGGTTTTGATTTTCAAGACATGATACCGAAATTGTTATCTAAAAATTACATATTACATGCTTATTTGTGATTAGCTAAGTTTTGAACAGGAAAATATAGTTTTAGTGTTTGAATATTTTATTAATGAATGCTAAATTTTCAACAAACATGTATGTACAAGACGTAAGAGCTGGTAGGTCTTTCTGCCAATTTTTTTTAACTGATTTACTTTCTTTAGAAAAACTTCCTACAGAGTAATTCGAAACTTATTTTACTACAAATATTTTTCAGGTGTTTTATTTACACAAATTATGCAAGAAGTTATAATGTAAACATGGTAAATGAAAAAAAAATCATAATCAATAACAGTGACTTAATAAATTAAATTTTTATCATTCCTTTTAAAGTACTTACCTCCAGGTAGAAAGGAAAGGTATATACAACAAAGATGCAAAGTAAAAAGTAATTTGTCAGATTCCATTGAATTCATTTTGAAGCCGATCGTAAATCGTTGTATACATATAATTATTCACGTTTGTTAATAGGAAAATTCCTAGCACACTCTCAACAGCCAAATCAATAGTGGTTTCGATATTGATGATGTTTAAAATTTCTTTTAAATGACCTAGATATATATCGATTTTTCGTCAGCAACACAATATAAGGAAGACCGAACCCTATCACAACAATAAATAGACCATGATAAAAATATGCACTATTCATATGCTCTTTTTGAATAGCAAGTAACGTTTATAAACGTTTAGTAATCAATATTAATTTATAAAACAAACATTTGCATATTATACTCAGTTTGTTGAGTTTAATTTCTTTCGATTTGTACATTACATAAATGTTCAAGTCTCTCTTTGAAAAGTACCATGTATATCCCACAACAAAATTAACATTTTAAAAGTAGTTTTAAAAGTCTCTCTAGAACTAAATGTACACGAAGATTTGGTATTATTATGACATATGTCAATGTATTTATTAAGATTCCAGATAATGTCTTATCTAATAGTACTTTATGGTATTTGTCCTTGCCATTATGTTGTCTGGGACAGATTTCTGATTCTATTAGTTCTGGATGTGCCTTGACAAGCATAATGCACAAAAGTTAATTTTAAAGACTGAATGACGTCAGATGAGACAAATACCTGGTTTGATGAGTTCTGGATGAGATTAGACTGGCATAATTCTCCAAAGTAAATTTATGGTTTTCTTGGTGTGTTTCGCTTATCAAGTATATACGAGGGACATTCAATAAATAATGTCTTCGGGACTTCGAAAGAAGCAAAAGACGCTTTTCAATGAATTGGTCTTCATGATTTTACTTATTAATCTCTTTTGATTAAAACAGACGTCCGTGAAATTTTTATCTCATTTCTGATTGTATTTAGAACTCATTTTTGGGTATGACACTTAGTATACTGGAAAATGGCAGATCCAATGATTTCCTGGACTTGTTTCTTCTTTCTGAAAGGTGGTTTTTCAAGTTTGGAAATAGAAACAAGTCAAAAGGTCAAAGATCTGGCGATTATTGTTAATGTGAAAAAATATTAACTTTCTTTCTATTCCGAAAACCCCTTTACTTTTCAGGGGTGCGGGTTTGGACGCTGTCGTGAAGAAATTTAATGCAGTGGATTCCTGATTCTAGGTCCTTCCTCTAATAAATCTTTCGATTTTTTGGCAAAAAAAACTTTCTAGACTCCTCCAGAAATTAAACTGTCTCTCCGAATACATTATTTTCTATCTAGCTTGTAACACGATCTTTGATTGGTTACAAAGTCGGGTGTAAATATCCGTGCACCTGACTTGAGCCGGGAGTAAATAAAACGTGACGTCACAATGTATACATTCTCTATATATTGTAGTACGTAGTTATCTAATCGATAGATTGAGACACTCTGATGTTTACAAAGCATTTTTATAGGTACAAAGGAAATAAATTCGTTATCCAGGTTCAATCAAGGGTGTACGGGGATTTACCCCGGGTTGTATTCCATACATCCTTCGGCCTTCGGCCTTCGGCCTCAGGGTGTATGGAATAAAACCCGGGGTAAATCCCTGTACACCCTTGATTGAACCTGGATAACTAATAAATCAACAATACCACTAATATTTAAGAAAATTGTGTATAAATTTGTCTTTGTGCTCTTGCATACCTTTGCTCTTGTCGGACCATTGCTGTTTTTATTAAGTACATCTTATGGGAAATTTTGTATTGAGTGTTTTAAGCAATAGATTCATTATCTGTTTGAATATGAAAAAAAACGTGGATAACTACAAATACCTTTTATTTTAAAACAATTGTTAAGATATTCCTACACGCTGTCGTTTTCACTCATTTCTTAAAATAAAGGGTGATCTTTGAGTACCAAGCTTTTTTACCATCAAAGCTTCTTAGAAACATCGTAAACTACTCCCGATATGATGTATATCAAATTTGCTAAGTGTCTTAAAGTCAGTCATACATTATTAGATATAATTTGTTGAAATTAGGCAAATAGTACATAAGTTGTTATGATTTTTGTTGGCAATGACGGTACCCATTTTTGATGCCCATTATATAATTTTTCATTATTGGAATCCACCTGATTATTTGTCTATAAAACAGACAATGGTTGATGTAAATGTCACATATTTCAGCTATAATTTCTTTGGGATTTTTAACACATTTACAGCAGCTTTATTGAAGCTTTTATTTTCACTTTAGATTACTGATTCTTTACCATTCATTTATAATGCAGTGTCTCGAATAGCCCTTGTTTCCCAGCTTCTCACGATGAAACGGCATAGTCTAAAACCTGGCCTTGCCCCTTTGGCCTGGCCTCTAAGTTGGCCTGGCCTCTATTTTGGCCTCTAATTTGGCTTCACACCAAATTTTGGCCTGGCCTCAAAAGTTTGTCTGGCCTCAAATTTGGCCTCTGCAAAAAAATTGGGCCTCAATTTTGGCCTCACCCAAAAATAATTTCTTTTTCAGAATTTGATTGGTTTGATTGATTTTTTTATTGGTTTCATTTTTTCAAAGAACGCAGATAAATAATATATTTCTGTTGATATGTAAATGTGAACATTAAGATAATAATACACTACTACCAATCTGATTTATTTTTATTGATTTTCTATTGACCAGTTGCAATTCTGAAGACTATATAACACAGAGCATATAGTTTTAATTTTGATAAGATTTCTTAATGATTTAGTAAATTTGCCTTTAATTTTTTTTCATGGTAGGATTGGTGATTTTTACAGAGAAAAACATTTAGAAACATCAATTTTAATTATCAAGACAATAAAGAAATGCAGATGGGTACAAAATCCTAAAGTTTTGTATTTCATATTCAAACATATTCATGTAACGTGTTAGTTAACTTTCAGCAACTATCAACGTGTTACACATTCCAATAAATGTGTCATTATAATGTTTCTATTTCAGAGCTGTACTTATCAAGAACAGAACTTATGGTCTTGATTTTTTTAGCGTTATCTAACTTTTGCAATTATTTTTCTACCCTCAGAGAAAAGGTGAAAGGTTCCCATGTCATTGGTGCCTGTCCTATCAGCAAAAACTAAATAAGCTATCATCATATATCAATTATAAAGAGTTGGTGAAGACAGGATTTGCTAAAGTTTAAATTCCACCAAATATAGAAACAATGGACCAGTCCATTATCAGAAAAAGGGTGTTTGATCCAATAGAAAATTTAATTAGCAACTCATGATCATTTAATGAAACTGACTAAATTAATTAAAGTATATAAAAGTGCATAGATTTTCAAAAAGTAATATTTTGTTTCTCTTTTTTTGTGAAGAAGCCAGTTAAACTGTTAAACTGTTTGAAATATTAGTTTTATGCTGTTCACCCTCTACCCATTTTATTCCCAAAATGACATTGTCAGCAAAAGATTTTACTTCGTTGTAACCACTGCAGCAGCTATACCTTTGTAAAAATCTCAAAAATACAAAAATCATCTTAAAATGGAGTGAAAAAGTTATGCAGATGCCGTAAAAGGTTTTAGTTGGGAAGATGGATCCCCTGGTGAACCAGTGATCAAAAGAAGTTTTTCATTTAAGTACCATGCTATGAACACAGTCACTAAACCTGAAGCCGAAAAAGAGAAGAAGTCCTAACAAGAAGACATCCAAATCTGGAAAAAGGTAAAATATGCAATATTTATAACATAATAAGGATGGGTTCCATAGATTTCTATATAAATTGGATTTATATTGTGGAATAACAAAAATGAACTTAAAATAAAGTATTAATTACCTTCCCAAATTATAAATTGAAACCATTTTTTTTTTATTTTAGGCATGCGGCTAAGCGCATGCAGGACCATATAAGTTCAAAACTAGAGAAATGGGAAGTATGTCATTATTATTACTATCCAACTTGAAAACTCAGATTGTATTGAGTAATATTATCAATATTTGCGAAATTTGGTTATTGTTTCCAAGATGAAGAGACCATATCGGGGAAAAGATGAAACAATGAAAGAAGGAGCACTTTCAAATGTTTATTTCCATTTATCAGAGAAATGCATCAAGAAACAAGATCCTTATTTTATATCATCTTTAATCTTTTGTCATGAGGATTTAAAAGGTCATTTGCTTCATCAACATCGTGAATACCTAACAGCAGCAAATATAAAGTTTTAACTTTTGCAGTAATTTTTTTCAGGATTATCCATTGTCAATTGTAGGCTAATTCTTTATTGTATTACGCTGTTATCAAATTAACCTTTCATTCTGAAAACTGATTGTGATAACTTAAGATTTTTTTCAAAACATGAATGGAAACTGACAAATTCTCTATGCCAGTGATTAAAACCTTCCTGTTAAACCCCTTCCGTGGATCTCTGTGTAATAATCCTGAACTTATTAAGAACAGGGCATACGGTCTAGAGTTTTATTTAGCTGTGTATCAAATGTCAACTTGTCTTCTGCATTGGTTCTAGATAGTGATGTCATGGGCACTTCATATATCAAACAAAATTGTTTCTATCAAGGATGGTGAAGGCAATAAACCATAAGCACAGCATTCTTTGGTGCAGTGTGTGAAGAGTGAAGGGTCATGTTTACAATAAATTGGATCATTAGACTCATATAGGTAATAATAATGTCAGAACTAAAAAGAATTACTTTCAATGTAACTGGTTTGTTTAAAACTGTATTCATTAAGAAAATAAAAGAATGTTTTTTTTTAATGAAGATCTTAGGTAATTATTATTCATCTGCATTTCTTTGTTGTCTTGATAATTCATATTGATGTTTCTAAATGTTTTAATTATATATACTTAAATATGTAAAATCCTCAATTCTACCATGGAAAGTCTTCAGAATTGCAATTGATAAATAGAAAATCAATAAAAAATAAATCAGATTGGTAGTAGTATATTATTATTTTAATATTCACATTTATATACCAACAGAAATATATTATTTATCTGCGTAATCTTTGAAAAAATGAAACCAATAAAAAAAATCAATCAAATCATTCAAATTCTGAAAAAGAAATTATTTTTGGGTGAGGCCAAAATTGAGGACAAAAAATTTTGCAAAGGCCAAATTTGAGGCCAGGCCAAAATTTGGTATAAAGCCAAGTTAGAGGCCAAAATAGAGGCCATGCCAACTTAGAGGCCAGGCCAGGCCAGGCCAGGTTTTATAGTATATCCGATGAAACTATGTGATGAAAAGTGATCACATAAAAATGTTATCAATTCATTAAAAATTCAATAATGAGAGAAAGTCTAGCTTAATGTCATATGATTTCTATGTAGTATGTCATTGAGCTTATATATGACATAATTTACTGAACGTCCCTCGTACTAAAAATGAGTCTATTGATACACTAGAACATGAAGTAATCAAACATATTTTTTGTGTTTTCTTGCAGGTATCATGGAAAATATATCTTATATTCAAATTTATATTCAAAACTCAATATTAATAATCGACCTGTGTCTGTTATAACTGTTTCAGACATTAGTTTCAGAGCACGCATCCTATGATTAAATTTTTTTTAAATGTGTCGCTCTTCATCGTTTCACAAATTGCCAATTTCAAAGAAAGTGGATTGATAATCTGCACAGATCACAGAATCAGAGACATCAGATTCGAATAGATTTCTTCCAAATTTGTCCAAGGCGTGTTAGCAATGGAGTGTGAATTAACTGGTACCTTTTAAAATATGATTTGCATTTTTATTAATCTTAAATATGTTTATCAAATTTTAATGTCTCTTTTCATTTTAGACTAGTAAATGACATATCTTCCTCGTCTGAAATTTACTTGTAAGTACCTTTGCATCTTGTGTTACAATGTATTTATAAATCCATAATTTCAATATTCAATATAAACTCAACAAAACTTTCTATTATCAAACCTTTTTTTTCAAATTTATTTCGTTCAATTTTAAACAATTCCTCAGTCTTTGATAAGAAAATAAATTTGAGGGATAATAGAGGGAACTTGTTATATTTTAAGTATGGACTTTGTTTGTTTCCGAAATACCCAAGGGAAGGGAAGAAGATTTTTAAAGGCAAAAAAGACCTTTTTACTGTTTAATCAACACAGTCCCTCCAAATTAGATAATAAAAATTCGGATAGATTCGTCCCAATTTCCTTTTCGTATATATATAATGATTACAAAAAATTCAAACATTGTATGTTACTAGCTCATGTGTATTTTCGTCGTTTTTTTGGGGTGGGGGGGGGTGGGGTGGTGGTGGCCCAGTGCTTATTTCACACTCCAGGGGGGCATGCGCAGGGACTGTTATTTTTGTATTCCTTAATCTATAGTTGATTTATCAACATTATCATCATTTTTTATATCATATGAATCACAACATTGAAAATTGTGCACAGGAATGTATCCAATATTGTACAAAACATTTTAAATACATGTCTCAATAATATTTTACCATGTCATTTTGATTGATATTACTTCTGATTATGTCACGTTTACAATCAAAGTTGATGATCATATTGGTTTGTGTGTATGAAGTTACGTGTGCCTGTGTATTATCCGTGTTGTTTTTTCCTATTTTTATCTTAACAAATATGCTGGATATTCTCGACGCTCATTTCAAATTATCTACCTTAATTAAGGTATCCGACCTACATTAGCTTACGATTCATGAAATTGAATGCGAAACAGATATGTATGAGCTAAATACTCAATAGATGTAAAAATAATTTTCATGTTTTAGTATCAGTATGTAAGAACGGAAGGTGACTTAATATATGACCTGGTCCTGTCCTTGAAGAGTTAACACCCTTTGATATTACTTTAAGTTAATAAAAATCAAATAGTAAATTTCGATCATTTTTCTATTTCTAATGAACTGGAAACGGGAATGGAACGCCCTACCGCTAGGATACCTTAACCTGTAGGTGGACTTTATATAGCCAGGCTTTCAAATTTATTGTCTTAGATGTATGCCTTTAATCAAAATGAATGACAAATGAAGATTATTTTCTTTTTTTAGCAATAAAATATCCACAAGATCTCAATGACATACATAATTCTTAATTCAGAAGTAAAATATAAGGCAAAAGAACTCAAAAATCAAATTCAGACATGAATTAATTTACAATACATAATACGATTAGGACATAAACTAAACATTACAGTTATAAGCTTTTGTTAAGCTTTTACAGTTATAAGCTTTTATAAACTTTAGAAATGTTTAATTGACATTATAAGAATACAATAGTCATAAATATAATTTTTATTTAATGATACATATATCATGATTAATTCATATTTTTTGATACCTAATGTACAAAAGATAAGCACCCTTTCAGCTGGGACTTTTCAATCGAGAAAGTGGTATACTAGTATTTGATGATATATTGAAGTCGTACATTAAGTTTTCTTGTTGCATAAAGAGTATTTCTGAATTAATGCTTATTTCCTGGTAACATGGTTGTGAATTGTTTAATACTATGATTTCAAAGTTTTAAAAAAGAATAAAAAGAGATCTATGGGCCTTATAGATCACCTGAGTATCATGTAACAACTTTCCAACAATTTGGTTCGTGTTTTAATCCAAAAGCCATGAAATTCACAATTTTGAAAGAGGCACCATTTCTTATCATAATTATACACTAAACATGCTTACTTTGTTTACTTAATACCCAGAGGTAGATCAGAGTAACAAAGAGAAAATGCATTTCCACTTTATAACCATCAGTTGTGCACCCCACCCCACAGGAGCCACTGACCCTGCGGCCACATATTTCGAAATTTTGGAAATTTTATCATAAATTTTATTTCATCATAAATGGTTGATTAAAACCAAAAAGCAGATTTCAAAACATTATTTTATTTTCAGACAAAGTACACCCCCGAGTACCCCTCACCCAGGGGCCCTGAAATTAACCATTTTAAAGGAAGCACCTTTCTTCATAAATATATAGTTAGATCATTGGCATATTACCCAGGAGCAAAGGAAAAGATTTTCAAAGAATTCATACATTTATCTATATAATGAAAAGAACCCTGCCCTTATGAGAACCTTGACCAAGGGGCCCCGAAATTCACAAATTGGGAAGAGGCAACCTAATTCAACATAATTATATACTTGGTTTGACGATTTAATGCCCTTGGGCAGAGCAGAAGATTTTTTAAAAAAAATGTATTTTTTCTATATAATCAAAAGAGCTTCGGCCATAACACCAGAACCCCTGACCCATGGGCCATTAAATTCAGAAATTGGAAAGAGGCAGCCTTATTCAACATAACTATGCATTTGGTTAGTTTATTAGATGCCCAAGAGCAGAGAAGAAGATTTTCAAAGAATTTATGCATTTTCACTATATAAACTATTGAACCCCGCCCTAGCACTAGAACCCCCGACCCAGGGGCCATGAATTTAAAATTTTGGTAGAAGACTCAATGCTTATTCCAATTATGCCAACAGTATGACTGATTAATGTCCAGGAGAAATTAAAGAAGTTTTTAAAGATTTATTTACTTATTTTATTTATTTATTTTAATGCTTTTGGCTCCACCACTAAGGTCCCAGGGGGGCAGGGACCATTAAATTCATAATTTTTGTTTCCCTTCACCCATAAATGCTTTGTGCCAAATTGGGTTGGAATTGGTTGATCGGTTGCAGAGAAGAAGCTGAAAATGTTCAAATGTTAACGCACAACACACGACGACGGACGAAAACGGATAGCAATAGGTCATCTGAGTTTACTCAGGTGACCTTAAAAGCAACAATGTTAAAATCTGTGACAGTAAGTTGATAATTGAGAAATGTCCTTTTACAGGACTTTGAAGTTTTATTAAGCCCTAAATTATCAATTAATTAATTACATAGTCATACAATGGCATAAAACGTTAGTTAAAATATTGTTTTACTCAAAGTTGGTAATCAGTTACTCCCACATTGGAAAACAGAATTCAAAATTTCTGAGATACTTTATTTTGGAATATTGGAATCGGTCTTGCTTTCTCAAACAAATGTTTTCAATACTTAATATTGTACAGCCACATGGTAGTATTTTGGCTGACCATTGTCTGCAGTATCCCGGGGGTGAACATTGTCTGTATTGGTGAGGTTGTTCAGAACGTTGTCCTGGACATTGCCTAAAGGTTTGTTGTTCGTGATTAATTCTTATTTGTTGCTGTCCATAGTTAATTTTAACAGCTGAAGTAGGCATTTTACACATTAGGCAACCTAAACATTTAAAGCATTTTAAGTAAATGTATGTAGTGAAATATTTATGTCTGGTATTCATCTCTCTCTCTCTCTCGTTTCTACCCCTATAAAATCTTAAATGAAGAAATTATTAAAGGATTAAACGTTCTTTTTTTCAGAATTTATCGATGTGTAAACTCATGCCTTTAAACTCACAAACTGAATAAAAGTGCGAAGCACTTTTATGTAAAGTTTGTGAGTAAAAAACATGAGTTGACACATCGATAAATTCTGAAAAAAGTTTAATTCTGATAACCAATTACGAATTTTTAAAATTGTTAAAATTATTTCACTTTGAGGCTTCCATACAATCCGTTATTTTTGTACCGCGTAGAAATTACCAGTACTTATGCCGTAAAGAAATGTAATCGATTTTGAATATCGATAAAACTTCAACTTAAATTGTCAAAATAATCAATAAATAAACTGATAAAAACTCATCGAATCCTATTCAAGTCAACAAATATCGTAAATAAAAGTAAATTCCAAAATAATCCGTCCTTGACCATGGCCATGTTGACATTAACGACAACTCTCATAGCGAAAGTTGCAGACTGACGACGCCCTCGATTTGCTCTGGTTTGTTCAAAGACTGAGGAAGAATAGAGGCCTAATATGTAAAAATATGAATTTGATGCTCATAAGGCAAGAGTCCGTGGTATGCTTCTTTTCCCTATCACGTACAACGATACACTGTACCAACTGAGCTCATTTGCTTCGTATTAGATCGAACGTCGATCGATTTTTAGAATTCGCACTTGTGATCCGACGGTGACATAAACATAATATTACCGTCTTTCGGGCCTGTTTGTCGACAGTTTTGTTTTCTGCTTTCATTGTTTTTACGGTAACCTGGAAGCTTGATTAGGAAAGTAGTTCTGATTGAAAAATTTATCGATGTGTAATTTTTTTTCTTGAAGTTGCTCTCGTCCAGTCAAAACACAGGGAAACAATAAATAAAGTTAAGATTTGAATTATCAACAAATATTTCCATTTTATACATTATTTTATTTGACCTCTGCCTTAAAAAAAGTATACATAAATATGTACAAATTAAATAAAAATATAAAAACAATTAACAGATGTTTGTTGAATTCATTACAGACCGAGGAAATTTACATTACATTTTGAAATAGAATTCGTGTACAGATAATCAAAGTTTTGTTTAATCTCCACAGCTAATTCTTATAATAGTATATAAAATTTTTCTGACAATTTTAATATAGCATTGCTATCAGTGTAATGCCATTCTACTTTATATGTATTGATGTTCCTGAATTTTCGCCAGAAGAAAATATATATAGAACTATATCTCCACACACTTTTTTCCCTCTCCTCTTGTACATTTTTAGTTCCTTAAGAAATGTATCTTCAAATTATGTCATTGTTTTATTTGTAAAAAATTATCATTTTCTTTATTTGAAATACAAAAATACAAATGTCCAATGAAGAAATGGCGCTAACTTAGGTATCTAGAAATTTCTTTTTGAACAGCAGACGGTTATACTTACGGTGAAGCAGACGATGAAGCTTATGATAAAAACAACTCCACCAACAGGAGAACCAACAATTGTTCTGTTATTATAAGATAAAAAGAATGTACTAATAAAATACTATTATAGCAGAACTTTTACATTTTAAAAATCTTTATCATGATCGAGTACTTTGAATGTATTTAATCTTCTAATATTGTATTTTTAACAAAACTTAACATATTTACAATTTTCTCCTTCTCCAAACATTATTCTTATTATTTGTTATTGCATGTCGTTTCCACAGTAGGTGATACATATAATACATGGATTCATTTGATGCTTACTCCTCCATGGCGCCTGATCCCACTTCTGATGATTTAGATGTCTATGTTTGCTCTATCTGCTCCTAACTTGTATTGTTTTATAGACTTTTGATCTTAAATACTGTTCATTATCTCAAAATGTTTCATAAAAATCAATATTTATAGTATCAAATTATTTTGGTATCAGTCTTTAAGTCCATACATGTATATCGTTTACCGTGTGAAGTAAAATAATAAAAAATACATGATAATATGTGCCTATCAGGCAACTTATTGGTGACAAATAAAACTGGAAAGGTCACTAAAAGATTATCCTCGGTCAGTCTTTCACTTTTCAATTATTGGCAGAGCTTCTTCAGGTGAAAGAAAGCATCCAAGAGAAAGAATATTTTTTAAAAATCATTTTAGACAATTTTACAAACCTATTTAAGAACAAGAGGCCCACGGGCCCTATAGGTCACCTGAGTATTGTGTAACAACTTTCAAACAATTAACTTTGGTTGGTGTTTTAAACCAGAGGCCATGAAATTCACAATTTTGAAAGAGGCGCCATTGCTTATCATAATTATAAACTTAGCATGCTTACTCTACTTACTTAATACCCAGAGGTAGATCAGAGTAACAAAGAGAAAATGCACCTCCACTTTATAACCAGTTTTGCATCTCACTCCAAAAGAACCACTGGCCCTGGTGTCACATACCTGGTATTTCAAAATTTTGCAAATTTTATCATAAAATGGTTGATTAATACCAAAGAGCAGATTTCAAAGTATTAATTTATTTTCAAACTATGTACCTAACACCAGAACCCCCTGACTCCGGGGCCATAAAATTTACAAATTTGGAAGAGGTACTCTTGCTCATCATAACTATGTACTTAGTTTGTTTATTTAATACCCAGAAGCAGAGAAGAAGATTTCAAAGAATAGATGCATTTTCACTATTTAATCAATAGAACTCCTCCCTAACACTAGAACCCGAACCCCTGACCCTGGGGCCATAAAATTCACAATTTTAAAAGAGGCACTCTTGCTTATCATAACTATGTGTCTAGTTAGTTTATTTAATACCCAGGAGCAAAAAGAAGATTTTCAAATAATAAATGCATTTTCACTTATCATATAACATTATAATCAATAAAGCCCCGCCCTAACACCAGATCCCCTGACCCTGGGGCCATAAAGTACAAAATTTTGGAAGAGGCACTCTTGCTCATCATAACTATGTACTTAGTAAGTCTATCTAATACCCAGAAGCAGAAAAGAGGATTTTCAAATAATAAATGCATTTTCATTATATAATCAATAGAGCCCTACCCTAACACCAGAACCCCTGACCCTGGGGACATAAAATTCAAAATTTTGGAAGAGGTACTCTTGCTCATAAAAACTATTACCTAGTTCATTTATTCAATACCCAGAAGCAGAAAAGATTATTTTTTTAAGAATTAATGCATTTCACTATATAATCAATAGAGCCTCGCCCTTACACCAGAACCCCTGACCCTGGGGCCATAAAATTCACAATTTTGGAAGAGGCACTCTTGCTGATCATAACTATTACTTAGTTTGTTCATTTGATACCCAGAAGCAGAGAAGAAGATTTTCAAAAGAATTAATGTATTTTCACTATATAATCAATAGAGCCCTGCTCTAATACAACAACCCCTGACCTTGGGCCAAAATTTGGTAAAGGCACTCTTGCTTATCATAACTATGTACTTAGTTGTTTTTGTTAATACCCACGAGCAGAGAAGATTTTCAAAGAAATAATGCATTTTCACTATATAATCTATATAGCCCCACCGTAGTACTAGAACCCCTCACCTTGGAGTCATGAATTTCACAATTTTGGTAATGGACTCAATGCTCATTACAATCATGCCAACAGTAAGACTGCTTGATGTCCAGGGGTAAAGAAGAAGATTTTTAAAGATTGCACTAATTTTAGTGGTTTTGGCCCCACCCTCAGGCCCCACGGGGGCAGGGACCATGAAATCACAAATTTTGTTCCCCATCACCTATTGATGCTTAATGCCAAAATTGGTTGAAATTGGTTGCAGAGAAGAAGCTGAAAATGTTCAAATGTAAAAGCACGACGCACACCGCACGACGACATACGAAAACGGATAGCAATAGGTCACCTGAGTTTACTCAGATGACCTAAAAAATCTAGATGTTTGTATATCTATACATATTTTAACAAAAAACATTCTTCTGGAAACTGCACAAAGTCATCATCCATTCTGAAGGTATTTGACCACCTTTCTTTCAAAATACAGATATGAATTGAATTTATATTATTATATACAGTTAAACGTAGAAAATGGGTATTGGTTAAACAAAAACTCCTCTAGAAATATTTAGTCATTTTAAAATTATCATTAGCTTATAGAACAAAACTGTAGTCAAGAAAAACATTATTAGAATTAGAATCTAAAGATGTTTTGGATGTTCGTGTTTGCTTCGATTCTATTTTAATTTGCTATGTTCAATGGACTTTTGAGCTCAAATACTTTTTGCTATCTCCGCATGTTTCCTGTTAAGTGCCGATAATGATTAAAATACGTATATAGCTTTGTTGGCCATTATTCTATCTTAATAAATCTAACTACTCGTATACATAATAGAGATTGCAGGCAATTTTTTTTTAGATGAGCAAACGTTTTTTAAAGGTATCATTTGAATGAATTGAAGGGCATGGATAACATATCTATTATTTTTCATTTTTATAATATTTAAAAAAAATCCACTGAAAGGGTATTATATATTGTAGAGGGAGCAAAAGTCAATTATATCCAGAATTTTTTCCTATAGTCAATAGTTTTGCAAATCACGTATTTAGTTCAATCAAAATAAGAAGCATTAAGTCTGTACTATGCTTCTATTTTTGAAAATTACATGTAGAACATAAACCTTATTTACTTTTGTATCAATTCCTTGGTTCAAAGCAGAGTTTAAAAAATATAGAATTGTCATTCATAGTGTGGATTATTTAGAATTACATACTTATTTAGAAACGTGAGATATGATAGTACAAAACAATAAAGAAAATCATGTAATTCCTTTGGTATGAAATATCCCCTTGAATTAAATAAATGAAAAGTTTCTTCCATCTCTAAGATTATGACAATTAGTTCTTACTGAACCATAAGCACACTGTAAAAAAACATTACCCAGTCCTCCCTGTGGTGTAATGGTAAATCTTTTGGATGTTCTTTCAGAGGATGCAGAAGACGTGGTTTGCATGATATTACTAGTGGTAGTTATCGTTTTTACTGCCAGGAAAAGAAAAAAGATAATTTGTTTTTATTGTCATGCTACTAACACCCTTTAGAAAATAAAACGAAAGAACAAATAATTTTGATAAAGCTTACTGAAGAACATGATAAAAAAACCACTGTCTGGGAAAATAAATTTCATATCAAAACATGTGATTGATTTCATTTATAACAGATATAGGGTCTCCAGTTGTTTGTGTGTTTGGATACGATTTTATCCAACATGTTGTGTATTTTCTGTCCAATAGCTTTGGATAGAAAAAATACAACAACTTGGATAAAAGTGTACCCAACCGCAAAACAAAAAGGTTTCCTACACTATTTTAAGCAAACAATTTTAAACATACAAGTAGCACAAATGAAAATTTAATAATAAAAGCATAAGCCTTTCATGAAAAAGCTTACCAATCTGTAAACTAATTTCATTCGATGCGTTGAAAAATTTCCCATTGAAGCCATTAAATGCAGTACAGGTGTACGTCCCTGTATCAGTTTCATTGAGATTTGACAGAGAAAGTGTCCCATTATTAGATGAAAGCTCTGAAGCAGTGCTATTGGGACTAGCCGTAAATGTCCATAGATACCTGTTGACAGTCGTATTAGCGTTGATTCCTGGAGTTGGATTACCTTCAGCTTCACAGAGTAAGGTAACAGAGGAACCAACAGAATACTGGGAGTCAGTATCAGAGTCCGGTACCTTCCTTATAATGGGAACATTGACTTTAACTGTAAATATATTCATAAACACCTCCGTGAAATGGTTATCATTGTACCAAAGAATACGCATAATACTCATATTCATTCAATCTCAAAAGTGCCATTTTAAGTACATTGGTTAACACACTAAACATGTATATGCAAACATAACCCGTACGAGCAAGTTAGATGTGACTTGACATGATTTGAATTGTTCTATTAATATATACGTACAATACACATTAATCCTCTTAGATTCTTGGTAAGGTTTGTCTCGGTCTAGCATTGTCAACAATTCATTGTCCACAAAACATCTCCACACCGACTGGTCGTCATCCTTTGTCATCCTGTATGTTACCGTGCTGGTTACATTGTAGACACACACGCCTCTCTGAACTGGTGGGGTGGTGGTAGACACTCCTGTAATTTCCTGTGGAGCCATTATCCCATTCCTGTAGCGCCACCACCTGATTTGTCCTGGAGGTTTCCCAACGTTGGCTGTACAGGACAAAGTCACTTCCGTGTTCTCTTCTATATTGTCTGGTACAGGAACTGGAATGTCATAAGGTTGCTCAGAAGGTGCTGTAAAGATTAAAGATATGTTGTTGAACAGATGTCATTTAATTTTATTTGCATCCAAGAGATTTTTTCGCGGTTAATACAAGCTCATTTCATATAACATTTGTCAATATGCAGAAATATTACGTATTATATACATGTATAAGTATTCTTGGTAAAATAAAATTACATACCTCTAGCTGAGAGAGATGTTTCTTTTGTCTTAGATACAGGACCTAATCCAGTATTAATAAATAAAACAGAACATCTGTAGTGATTCTCATCTGAACACACCACCTCGTTTACCCTCATCACAACAACATAGGAATTAGCTCCATTAACTGTTACATTGAATAATTCAGATCGATTCTTATAATCCGTGGCAAAATTTGTAAAGGAATTAGAACCACCTGATCCAGGGGGAGAAAAAGTTGCTATGTTTGTAAATTCCTCTGGTCCAGGGCCTGTTATGATTTGCCAAGAAATAGATCCTGGGTAGACTGTATCACCAGAGTCTAGTGTATATGTACAGGTGAAGTCAACTGAACCTCCAATAGTGGCCGTGAGAGACCCCGATGTGGAAACTGTTCCTGCATAACTACCTTTAATAAAAGAAATATGCATCATCAATTCACTCTAACCAATAAGTGAATAGATGATTTGATTAAACATTGTACCAGTTGTTTTATACATGCTATTTCAGACAATTACTATGTTTTTACAAAGTAAGTTGTCTTTAATTCAGAGTTAATACATTTTCCATGTTTCAGATATTATGTTAAATATCCATTACTAATATATCATAATATGATAATTTAAGGTTATCCGATCCTCAGCCATGAAGGATAACTCCAAAAAATAATATTTTATTTAAAAAGCTTTAATAAGAGGCTCGGAAATGAAAACTTTTCAAGCAACAATTTTCATTTAATTCAAGGTTTATGGTAGTATTAAAAAAGGCCTTATAAAATGTTGGCATTTGTAAGCCATAAAAGGGAAAAAATATAAACAGTTTAAGATAAGTGAGATTTTCTTGAATCAAGCCTTATACAGTGGAGCCTCATTTATCCGGACGCTTTGGTTCCCAGTCAATTTGTCCGGATATGTGAAGCGTTCGGATACCTGAATCACCAGTTAAACAAGACAAAGTGCCATTAAAAAATTCTGTTCCGATGAAAAATCGTCCGGATACTGAAACATCCGGATATCTGGCGTCCGGATATCTGAAGGTCCACTGTATACCAATGCTAAATAGCATGCTATAAAATTAGAAGTTATTTTTGATGTCTTACATTGATTGAAAAAACGTTTTACACTATGTATTACATGTATATAGTAAATGAAAAAAAAACAAGACATAGAATACCAAAAAAGTATAAAAATCACGACAATTTCTCTGAATGACTGGATACCTATTTTTTTTAACCTAAAATATATTTTTTGATCAATTGCAATTTGAATTCTTTTTGGCTAGTCAACATAGTCAAAGTAAGAGTAATTTTAAAAATGAGTATGGATGAAGAAAGGAAAGAGAAAAATAAAACAAAATGAATATGCATTAAAAATTGCAGCTTTTAATTTTCTTCAAGGTTTCAAAGGCGTGTGAATTGTCAGCAAGTGTTTTAACTGAATTAAAATTCAATTTAAAATGTATGTATATAGTAAGTTTCTGCACAGCCCTTAAATAAGTGGTCAGGTAAAATTTTATTTACTTCCTGTTTCATTTACTGGGACATATAAAAAGCCAAAACACACTACTATCAACAGGTAATCTGAATTATCTCTTTCTATTATCAAGAATTCCTATTCTAAAACTGTTACATAGTCTCAAAACAGATTTTAAAAAACAAGTCACATATTAACATTTTCTTGCACCAGTTGGTTTGTTTCATCTTGGTTTTGAATTTCAAGACATGATACCGAAATTGTTATCTCATAGGTAAAACATTGGTGATCAGCTTAGTTTTAAACAGGAAAAAATATAGTTTTAGTGTTTCAATAATTTGGTGAATGGTAAAATTTCAACATATTTACAAGATGTAAGGGCTTGTAGGTCTTTCTACCAGTTTTCTTTTTTACAAGTAACCTGATTTTCTACAGAGTAATCCAAAATTAATCATATTTTATTAAAATATTTTTTCAGGTGTTATTAGATATACATATGAAAGATATTATAATGCAAACATGGTAAATGAACAAATAATCAATAATAGTTACTTACTTATCATTCCTTTTAAGTTACTTACCTCCAAAAAGAAAGGAAAGGTATATACTACATGGATGCAAAAAAGTAAATAATAATTTGTCAGATTCCATTGAATTCATGTTGAAGCCCAATCGTATTTAGTTGTATATTTCTGCACACTCTCCACAGCCAAATCAATAGTGGTTTCGCTATTGATGATATTTAAAATTCGTTTTCAATGACCTAGATATATCGTTTCGCTAGCAACACAATATAGTGAAGACCGAGCCCAATCACAACAAAAACATAGACCATGATACCTGGTATATCTTTAAATCTCCTTATTGAAGAGCCGTATGTACATTTATCATATTTATAAACTTTTAGGACTCTGTTTATAATATAATAAATATTTGCATAAATACTCAGTTCGTTTAGTTTGTACATGTAACTACTCTCAGTAGTTTTTAGAATTAATGAAGTGTCTCTTTGAGTAAAAAATTATATCCTAATTATCCTACAATAAATTTCTTACATATTTATTTATATTGTTTAATGTCCATCTCGAGAATTTTCTTTCATATGAAGACGCCTATAAAATTCAATGAAATTCAAGCAAAAAAAATTACATATTTCAGTAGTTGTACAGTCGTGAATCTCTTTAAAAACCAAAGGGTGATTGGGTATATGGTTAGATCTACATCATTGCATTTATAAAGAGCCCAGATAATGTCTTACTACGAGTACTTGGGCTTAAATGGGACAGATTCCTGGTTTGATGAGTTCTGGATGTTGTTTGACTAGATGGATCGTCTTGTTTCCAAGTGGTTGAATTAATGCTGGGTATGTATGCTAAGAAAAGTCTATTGATATACTGAAACATAAAATAATCAAGTATTTTACAGTGTTTTTGTAGGTATCGTGGCAAATATATCTTGTATTCAAATCTATAAAAATATTCAATATGAATGATCGACCATTGTCTGTTATAACAGTTTCAGACAATATTATTTCAAACCAAGCAGGCTGTGATTACATTTCTTTTAAATTTATCGTTTTTCATAGTTTAAGAAGTGGTAACTTTCAAAGAAAATGAAATGATAATCTGCACAAGTTACGGAGTCAGACCCATCAGATTCGATGAGATTTCCCAAATTTTGTCCAAGGCGCGTTAGCATTAAAGTTTGGCCTAACTGGTTCCTTTCTTTCTTTCTTTTTTATCTGATTCGCATTTTTAGCTCACCTGAGCCAAAGTTTAAGGCTCAAGTGAGTTCTTATGATCAAAATTTTTCCTTTCTCTGTCGTCGTTGTCATTGATGTCGTCGTCGACGTCGGCGTTCTTGTACATAATATACATTGTAGTATGTAAACTTTTCAAACTTTCATCTTCTTCTAAAGATACAATGGGTCAATTTAAACCAAACTGTTTTACCACAAAGTATCCATTCGTAAAGGGGAATCAAGTTTGGTCAAATGAAGGGCCAAGCCCTCTTCCAAGGGGAGATAATTATGAATTAGTGAAAATTAATGGAACCTTTTAAAAATCTTCTTCTCTAGAACCACTGGGCCAGGAAAGGTGAAACTCTTGCATGTGGAATTATCCTCAGCTAAATCAAGTTTGTTAAAATCATGGCCCCGGGAGTAGGGCGGGGCCACATTGGCTGATCAAAGTTTTACATAGGAATATATAGGATTTTTTTTTAATCTTTTTCTCAAGACACCGCAAATCCATGATTGATGTTGTTTATAAGGAAGCATCCTCAGGTGGTATAGATTCAGGTTTGCTCAAATCATGACCCCCGGGGTAGGGCGAAGTAATGATAGATGATCAAAGATGATGCATATATAGGAATATATATGAAAATCTTAAATTATTTTCTTCTCAAGAGCAGTGAGGTCATTATTTGTTATATTTATATGCATGCATCTGCAGGTGGTGTAGATACATGTTTGTATAAATCATGACTCCCGGAGATAGGGCGGGGCCACAATAGACGATCAAGTGTTTACATACATGTAGGAATACATAGGAAAAATCTTTTAAAATCTAATCAAGATCTAAAGAGCCATGGTAGATCATATTTATATGGGAGCATCTTCAGAAGGTGTAGATTCAGTTTTTATATCAAATGAATCACAACATTGCAAAGTATGTCACAATGATATTTTACTACCGGGTATGTCATTATGATAGATATTCCTTTTGTTTATGTCATATTTACAATCAAAGTTCTACGCGGGTTTGTTTAGGCAGCTCGCGGATCAAAATTCGGCGAATTAACACTTTTTTAATAATATGTATCACTAATAAATCGGAAAAGTCATGGATAAAACTTTTGCTAACATTCTGCATTCTATAGACTTCAATAGGACTTATACTACACCACGACGTTCCACGAGACGTCTATAATTAGAAAATATGCTTTAATGAAAAAGGGAAGAGTTTAACTACCCCGTGGATAATTAATTTCAATTTGTTATAATAGTTATGTAAAAACATAGCTTTCCTAATGGCCGATAGGAAGAGCTGGCGTGTACATTTCGTTGGTCGTCTAAGGACGGCCGAGTGAGTGAGTGATATCTGTACCATGAAAAGTGGTGCTAGAATCCTACTGTCCTATCATAGAAATAATTATTCAACCTTCCCAAAATTTTTACATAAATGCTCATAAGCTCCAAAAAATGCACCAATTCCCATTAACTATACGATAATAGCAGCACTTTCCAAACACAATAGAATTAGAACTTTAAATCGAAACAAAAATTAGTTTCAAAGTACTCGGCATAGTGTTTAACTTTTGCATCATTCTTTTGTGTTACGAACGACAGAGGAAAGGCTGATCGGCAAGTTAACACACAGTCTGCTTTTATTATACGAAGAAATTGTAGAATTATATTAGCAAACCTATTCAGAAGCTTTATTCTCACATGAATCCCAAATGATATTCATTCTGAATGCTTTAAAACTCCTATCTCTTGTGTTTGTTTGCATCAATTCTCGTTAAGTTTCATTTTCTCTCTGCTAATATACTGATCAACAGTTTTGACGTCACAGGTTTTGTATTTAACCCCTGTGATAAACAATTAGACCCAGAAACGACAAAATTCCGTTACATCATGTCTCTCCATATTTTGATTCATGTTTGCGACCTCAAGTCAATCTTAGATATCGATTTTAATAAATTGTTAACTATAAAGTTAATGTCATATAGCTTATATGACGTCATATCATATAGGCAAGTAAATATTTGGTTGTAACCTTAACATACATGCGTAGATCATAATATATGGGTTTTGTTTATGGAATTGCAGGTATGTGCCTGTGTATCTGTGCACTATTGTACCTTTTCAAATATGCTGGATATTCAATAAATGTAAACATAATCTTCATGTTTTAGTATCAATATGTAAGAGCCGGATGTAACTAGCTATATGACCT